ATGATTCTCTTTGGTCCCTCTCCTCCAATTATGAAATTTAAATCTGGATATTTCTGACAGAGTTCAGGTATTATACCACTAAGCAAATCAGTCCCTGAAAATATAAAGTTGAATGTTGGAGATATTAATATTCAAACTTAAAAAAATTCACCAGAACTACTGAGAATCCACTCATTTTGAAAAGTATTAGCTATGCACTCCATAAAGGAGAGAAACTCTCTTAAAACTTTTCCAGGAGAGTGGAATTGTTCACAAACTGCCAGTGGTCTCCCAAGAGTTGCAATTCTTGAAGATATAGGCCTTGACATACATTACCTTCCACACCCCCAAAATATGGACTATTGTTTCATCTCAATAGACTATTCTTTAAGTTATTCACTTATGTTTACACACTGCCTACTTCTAAAAAGGTAAATTTAAGGTGGCTAAGGTTTGAGTTCATTTTCTCCAGAGCAGGCAGCTAACTGGAGATCTGGGTCTTATCCCAGCTGTTTTACCAGCAAGCCCTTAGATCATAGGAAGTTTCATGATCTGTAAAATAAAGATACCTATGTACCTAAAGTTAGGGTCTCTTTCAGCTACAAAATTCTTTTTTTTTGTTTTTTTGAGACAGAGTCTCGCTGTGTCACCAGGCTGGAGTGCAGTGGCACGATCTCAGCTCACTGCAATCTCTACCATCCAGGTTCAAGCAATTCCCCTGCCTCAGCCTCCCGAGTAGGTTGGACTACAGGTACGCAGCACCATGCCTGGATAATTTTTTGTATTTTAGTAGAGACAGGGTTTTACATGTTGGTCAGGATGGTCTCGATCTCCTGACATAGTGTTTCGTCCGCCTCGGCCTCCCAAAGTGCTAAGATTATAGGTGTGAGCCACCACTCCGGGTCTCAGCTATAAGATTCTATCAGTCTGTGATTCCACTTACTGCCACCGGAAAAGGCTAAGCAACAAAATCTAACTGCTGCCTCCACTTTGTTTAAAATGTAGCTGGTAAAGAGAATTTTGCAGTAAACAGTACAGTATTAGCAAAATTTAAGTTCGAACAAGCTATAGCCCACTTTCCCGGAATGGGGGTAAATAAAGGCAGCAGGGCATCAACTGTCAGATCATTACAGTCCATAGAACAAAAGGATGCATCTTGGTTCCTTTTTTTCTCCAAAATGATTTTCTTATAATATGTAAACACAATCTCAGGTAATAGAAAACAATAAAGTAAATCATGCCCTATTAGTCTGAAAAAGTGAGTGGCTATCCGAAGTCACAACAATGTCAATACTATTTGAGAATCTAGTTCATTAACAATTACAAATCATACATATTCAAAAGTAAATGTACAATAATCCACCTAAAGCTAAGTTAAATTTAAAAAATGCATACACACATAAGAACTGTATTTCTTACATTAATCTTCCACCCAAAATAGGCAGATCAGTTATAAAATAGATGACAGGAGAAATGATATATATACATAGGGTCATTTTTATTAAATTATGCAAAGTAGAATTCATTAAGTAAACTCTGCTAGTACTTTCAAACTATTATTGTATATATTAAAAACTCATACACAGCTTTTCTGAATATGAAGGCTTCTAATTAAAATCATAGCTATCTTTGTTTGAAGTCTACTACCGAATCTATCGATTAGATTTCTAGATAAACCAGAAGGTAGTTTAATGACTTTTAACATTTAGTCTTCTACAATTTCTTCAATCCATTTTCTTCCTCACCCTTTTCTTTCTCATACAAGGTTAAGAGCCCATTCTTCAAACAAACAAAAAACAACACAGGGCAACAGTGATAAGTGATTATAAGAACTAACAGTAACTGAGCGCTTACTATGACAGGCAATATACTTTAAATTCATTATGTCATTTAATCCTGACAACTATCTCATAAGAAATGGAACTGATTACTATTACCAATGATCTATGTTCTTATTCTAAGAATAAAGGCTTTTCCCCACCACTATAAAAAAAAATTATTCTGGACCCTCCAAGAAGAGTAACACAATGGAACCTAGAGACTTTCGACTGCCATATGAACACAAAACAGACAATGAAAATCTGATTCAAATTGCTTTTAAAGCTCAGTCTAACAATATTTTTAAGAACCTTTTGATCTTATACCTAGGATATTAGTGGCTGGGCATGGGTGGAGGAAGAGGAGGCCTTAACTCAAGAAAAGCTGGACTCACGTGTGTCATCTTGGTTACCTACTATGTAACCTGGATGAGTTACTTTCCCTCTCTGAGACTCAATTTCATGTAGATAACATCTATCCTACAGGTGTTGGGAGAGTCAAATGAGTATTGTACCACACACAGGCTTTATCAACTGCAGAAAATAAATGTAGGTTGTCATTGACACTACAGCAGGAAGTAGGCGAGCGTGCCTACACATGCACAGAGTGCTGGTAAATCCTGACTGAGAGCAAAACAGGCTTGGAAGAGGTGGCTCAGGAAAAAGGCAGCCAAAAAGCCTGAATAAGGAAAACTTCGATTATCCTCTCTCTCACTTAAGGCATTCTAGTGGGACTTTGATATCTGGTCCAATAAACTCCTGAGGAAATTAATCTATTAATAAGGAATGGACCATTAATACAACTACTCACTTTTGGGCTACAGGTATGGCTGTTCTTTCTCAGAATGTTACTTTTTGCAGGGTGCCTGGCACACGGAGAGGGTTCAATAAACACCTGTTCAGTTATTGATGTTCAGTTATTGAATTGAGTACAGGAAAGGCCATACCATCATGCCATTGGTAGTTAGCTCAGCAGATTAAAATACCACATTAGTGTAGTAAAGGTAACAGGTTTAATCTTTGTATGGGTAGTTAATTTTGCTGATCCTTGATCACACATGCATCATACTCTTTCTTAGCTAACTATCTCAAGGCAATATGTTATTTGGTTAAAAAATAAATTAGGTACAAAAAATTCCTAAGTCACAAAAAATATATCACTAATGTCCCAAGAGGAATTCAGAATATAGAATGCCAGTCATTCACATGTCCCTGATTAAAGAATGAAAGCATGTCATTGCCTTTAAACCAGAAAATGAAGTTCAGGGCAAGTTTCCTTGCCAACCTTCACTTAAATGGACTGTTGGATCAATCAAGGTTTTCCGTGCCAAATGCAAACTGACCAAGGCTCACATCTAAATTTAGGCTACTCCCTAGCACACTGGCACACCACTGAGTTTAGTGCTTATCAAGAACCAGTTGTGTTTGTTCACACACCTGTTTGATGTCAGTTGTACTTGTCATCGTGTTGAGTAATTTAACATCACATAAATTGACAAAAAGAGTTTCTACAAAAACTAAGCTGAACAGTTTGAAAAATCCAATAAAGGAAAGTCACAGAAAAAAGTTCTTGGCAGATGAGAGGTGTCCTAAACTACTGTATAACATTGAAAATAAATTAAAACTCCTGAAGCATAAAACTTCATGTGCCTTTAAGTTCTAGCCCCACTCAAAAGAAACTCGAAGTAGCAATGGTAGATTATGCTTTGTGAAGGAAAGTGTGCAAGATACAGGTGAAACCAGTGGCCCAGCACTCAAAGTCTGCAGTCTTACACCAAACTATTGGCAACTCAGTGTGTATTAATATTTTGAGTTAAATTCAAATATTAAATATTTAAAGGGGTATTTTTTAAAATGATTTCCTACTATAGATGATACTTTTTTTTGAGACGGAGTCTCAACTCTGTCACCAGGCTGGAGTGTAGTGGCGCTATCTCGGCTCACTGCAACCTCTGCCTCATGGGTTCAAGCAATTCTCCTGCCTCAGCCTCTTGAGTAGCTGGGACTACAGGCACATGCCACCACGCCCAGCTACTTTTTTTGTATTTTTAGTAGAGACAGGGTTTCACCATGATGGCCAGGATGGTTTCGATCTCTTGACCTCGTGATCCACCTGCCTCGGCGTCCCAAAGTGCTGGGATTACAGGCATGAGCCACTGCATCCAGCCATAAATGACACTTTTGATTAGTGGACAGGTTTTCAAATAGCACTCAGAAGACACTTTTTTTTTTTTTTTTTTTCATAACCAGACTGTTTCAGACTTCTAGTAAACAAGCCTCCACACATTCAACTGTGAAGTCTATGAAGTGCTGCAGAGGTACTAAAAATAACCTCCTTAGCCGGGCACTGTGGCTCATGCCTGTAATCCCAGCACTTTGGGAGGCCCAGGTGGGCAAATCATGAGGTCAGGAGTTTGAGACCAGTCTGGCCAACTTAGTGAAACCCCATCTCTATTAAAAATACAAAAAATTAGCTGTGCATGGTGGCGGGTGCCTGTAATCCCAGCTACTAGGGAGGCTGAGGCAGGAGAATTGTTTGACCCAGGAGGCTGAGGTTGCAGTGAGCTAACGCCACTGCACTCCAGCCCGGGCAACAGTGCGAGACTGCTTCTGTCTCAAAAAAAAGAAAAGAAAAGAAAAAACAACCTCCTTGATAATAGCAGACACTTACAAACTAGGCTAATGTTTTTATAGGAACTATCACTGAACCCCTGCAAGGTTCCCAATGTTGCTTAAATTACACAAACAAAAAAACTGAGACTTGGAGATGTTAAGCAACTTCTCCTCGATCACACAGCAGGAAAGAGTGACCATCTGATCCCAGGCCGTCTAATCCCCTTTTCTTCATTACTTACCTGCCAATATCTTATACATGATTAAATGAAACAAGCAAGCTACAGCATAGTAACGTGCAGAGCAAGCCCACTGATTTTCAGTATATGTACATACACATAAAAAGGACAGGAAAGCTATAAATCAAAATACTCATTAGGGTATCTCTGAATAATACAGTTACAGCTGATTTTAGTTTTCATCTTTGTGCTTTTCTTAGTTTCCAAAATGTCTGCAATGAAAAGACATTACTTTGGTGTGTGACCTCTGCCCATTGCTTCTTTACCACACATGCAGGGCTGTTTTAATTTTTAAAAAGACCTGAAATTTAACAGCATCAGGTTACTGTTCTTTTTTTGTTTAGTAACCATTAAAACATCAAAGGTTGGGGGACAGCATCCACCACCATCCTGAAAATGTCTCTTCTTGGATATATAAACCAATATTAGAACTTTCTTTGCTATAATTTATTGCATTATAAAACCATAAAACAAAGCCAAACAATCATCATACACAAGTATTCAACAGCTTTCTACAAGGAAAAAAAGTCTACAATGCAATTATAGCTATCATTTCATTACCTTTTCTGTAAACAAGTCTGCTGACAACAACAATAGTTATACTATCATGCCTTCTAAATGGGTCTGGAGTGAAGTCAGTAGGATCTACAGCATTAGGAATGACGGACACTATTTCAGGATTCAGTGCTGCTCTTAGTACAGTATTTTCCTTACTAGTATAAGACACACAAATGATGTGGTTTGTATCACAAAGAGACACAGTTAGAAGCTTGTTTGTAAGCACCGAGCTGACATCAGCAAATCCAAAAAGGGAATGGTCCGTGAAGACTGTCTGAAGCCCCATTGTCTTGGCGTGGAAGAGAGCATCATGGGCCATGGCAGAAAAAGAACTATGTGAATGGATTATCGTGACTCTCTCCCGAACAAATATGTACCTGAGCAATGGCAGACTGTGAAAGAGGGTCGTGGCTGTAGACTGGTTGTACATGACTTTCAGAGGCAGGTAATAGACTTTGAGGCCATTAGTGAGGTAACGGATGCCTTTTCGATTTCCATAAGCATGGGTGACAATTATAACCTTATGCCCTCTTTCAATCAGGCACTGAGAAAGCTGGTAAATGTGGCTTTCCACGCCTCCCATATTTGGGTAGAAAAAGTCAGATACCATGCATATATTATGGGTATGGGTTCTACATGTATAAAGACTTCCAGGGCTAACCCGAGAGAGTGTAGCTGAGGCAGGATGGCCATCCCCACCTACTCCTCTATAGGCCATGCTGAGATGGTTTAGGCATCAGTTCTTAGAGCAACCCGGTTAAGAGATGTGTCCTCTATTACCTGAAAAAGAGTAAAACAGGATCTCAGCTCAGAAACAAAACACATTTCATAGTACAAATCCAGATATAGATACTATTTAATGTTAATGTAAATTTGTTAGCTTTTCCCTAGAATTAAAAACAAAGCATGTCATCAATTTACTCATTTGACGTTTACTTGCTTGGCATTTACATACAATAAAGCTAGGTTCTACAATGTCTTAATTTTGCCCTAAAAATACTGTTACATGTAATTTTAAATAGTAAGTTTGTTACACCACAGCATATCATGGTTTGCCATGTTAACAAACCAGTCTTTTCCAATAATTAAGTATATATTATACACACATACATACACACATGTTAATATATATATGTGTATATATATATATTTCCCCTTTTATGATTACACTTTACCAGCTTCTATTAATACTTATTAAATGGCCACTATACATCAGCCACTACATGCTAAGAGTCTTCTATATCTTTTTTTTTTTTTTTTTTTGGAGACAGAGTCTTGCTTTGTCACCCAGGCTGGACTGCAGTGGCATGATCTCAGCTCACTACAACCTCTGCCTCTCGGGTTCAAGCAATTCTTCTGCCTCAGCCTCCCGAGTAGCTGGGACTACAGGCGCCTGCCACCACGCCTGGCTAATTTTTGTATTTTTAGTAGAGACAGGGTTTCACCATATTGGCCAGGCTGGTCTCGAACTCCTGACTTCATGATCTGCCCACCTTGGCCTCCTAAAGTGCTGAGATTATAGGTGTGAGCCACCATGCCCAAATGAGTCTTCTGTATCTTATTGCAGCCTCACCAAAATTCTATAAGTTATCAACTCCATCTTATCAATGGAAAGTCTAAAACTTAAAAGGGTTAATAAATTTGTTCACAGTTACTCAGTGCTTAGAAGTAACTCAGTATAGCAGTCTGTTTCATTAGTGGTCATGCCTCCTGGTATTTATGTCTTTCTCTAGTCCCTTCCCCTTGCATTTGGACCTGGTTTAGCCCATAGGAGGGGGTGGAAGCAATGTGCAAATTTTTGGCCTCAGCCTAAAAAAGGTGTGGTGGTTTCCACTTGTACACTCTTAGATATTCTAAGCCAACATGTAAGAAATCCATCTGTTGTGCTAGAGGGGCAAGTGTAGAGACAATATGGAGAAGGAAGAGCTCTGAGACTACATGGAAAGAGCCAGAGGCCCAGCCATCCAGCCAACTCACCAGGTAAATGCAGCCTCCTAGTGACCATTGGCAAGACCAACAGAATCACCCAGCTGAGTCTAGCTGACAGCAGTATCATGAAAAATAACAAAATGGCTGTTGTTTCATATCATTAAGTTTTGGGGTGGTTCAGTAAAAAAATAACAAGACAACTAAAACAGGCCAGGACTCAAACCCAGTTATACTGGTCCACTGCCTGTTTTTGTAAAGTTTTATAGAACCACAGGCTTGCCCATTCATTTATGTGAATGGCTACTTTTGTGCTACAACAGCAGAATAGCTGCAACAGAGATCATATGACCCCCAGAGCTGAAAATGTTTACCATCTGGTCCTTTACACAAAGTTTGTCAACCCCTGCTCTAGAGCTTAGCCACTGATTCAATTAATCTCATAAAATGTTGCTAGTATTAGCTTTGTGGTTTACACTAAAATGCACCTGGAACTCAAACTATCTTTCTGAGAGCACCTTTCTCAAATGTCACCAGAGCATATGCTTCGAAGAATCCACATTTTCTCCTTCCTTATTCAAAGAGGGTGATTATCTGGCCCGGGCATGGTGGCTCACTCCTGTAATCCCAGGCCTTTGGGAGGCCAGGGTGGGTGGATCACCTGAGTTCACGAGTTCGAGACCAGCCTGGCCAACATGATGAAACCTCATGTCCATTAAAAATACAAAAATTAGCCAGGTGTGATGGTGCCTGTGGTCCTAGCTACTCGGGAGGCTGAGGCAGGAGAATCGCTTGAACCTGGGAGGCAGAGGTTGCAGTGAGCCAAGATTGAGAGCCACTGCACTCCAGCCAAGACAACAGAGCAAGACTCCATCTCAAAAAACAAAACAAAACAAACTCCAAAAAACAAAGAGGGTGATTATCTAACTGCTCCGTTCACTTCTTAAACTTTTCTTTCAGTTATGCAGGCCTTTCAAACTCAGTGAGTGTCCCTCCCTTCAGTGTGGTGTCTAAAAATAACAGCTAAACTAGAGATGGGCTGTATCTAGGACCATTTTCTCCATTTAAAGTACGAAATGTTTATCTCAGGGGTCCCCTAAAGCCTTATCAACGTGAAATGTTCACTCAATATTTGGTACTATTATACATTCTTAGACATCTAAAACTAAAAAGAATCTTGGATATCTGGTCAAAATCTTCCTCAGCTTCACAAATGAGATTTCCAACGCTCCAGAAACCCAACTGTACAATGAGAAACCATCCTAAAGCTGAGTTTCCGGTTTCACCTGCAAACTCAGAAAATGCCAATTAATTGTGTGTGCAAAGGCTGAACTGTCTATTCTCTCCAACAAATTCATCTCCTTTTTTTTTTTTTTTTTTGAGACGCAGTCTCACTGTTGCCCAGGCTGGTGTGCAGTGGAGCAATCTCAGCTCACTTGCAGCGTCTGCCTCCTGCGTTCAAGCAATTCTCCCACCTCAGCCTCCCGAGTAGCTGAGATTACAGGCACGTGCCACAATGCCCTGCTAATTTTTGTTATTTTTAGTAGAGACGGGGGTTTCATCATGTTGTCCAAGCTGGTCTCGAGCTCCTAACCTCAGCTGATCCACCAGCCTCGGCCTCCCAAAGTGCTGGGATTACATACAGGTGTGAGCAAACGCGCCCGGCCTCATCTACATTTTAAATATACTCTCAGAAAGACTCCAGAAGTGTTTGTTGAACTGAATTTACTAATTAAGATTCAATATTACCAAATATTGAAATTCCCCAAATTTGTACTTTTTGGTGGCTTAACTAACATTTTCTTACTGTGGTCACCTGAACCTGAACTTCCAGCTCTATCAGTTTTAAAAGATGAATGATAGCAAAAACAGTGAGTAATTAACCAAATGATGGCATTTAAAATTTTGTCATTAGCCTGCAATGTTCTGTGAGGAGTCTGCCCACTTCCACCAGGATTTCACTCCAAACATCTTCGTGACATAAAAGCTCAATATGCTGCACAATCGCAGAATCTTATCTCTTAAAGCCAAAATGAGGTTTGAAGCCCTAGTGAATATCTGTCTCGCTTTACAAATGAGAAGCCAGACAAGTTGAGTCATTAGTCCAAGGTCCCACCCAGCCACTTAAAGTGGCAAAGAAGATATTACCGTAAAATTCTCGACGACGGCCAACGAGCCCCGGGCAATCATTAGCAGTAGAGGCTCCTGAAGAATCTTAGGGAGACCTGGCAGGAGTTGCGGGTCAAGAGGATGGTACTTCCACTGAGAATTCCCGGGCACTGCCTGAGCTTCACTCCCTGACTCCCTGAGAGGTCGCTGGGGAACGCTCTGGCCAAGGAGGGGATGCCTCTGCTTAGATAGCGACCCTGCTGAGTTCATGGCAGGGACTGGCCAGGCCCAAAGAGAGAAGGTAAACAACCAGAGAGTAGACGCGGGTCTCAGGCCCGGCGTTCCGGAGACACCAGTCCTTCGACCCACCTGCCTGAGCCAAGGAACCCAGCGCGTCCGCCCTAAACGCACCCTCAGACCCAACCTACTCTGGAAACCCTCCGACCCCACTTCCGGGCTTCGAGCCGGGTCGGCTTTACACCCTCCGCCACCCGCCACGCTCCCACGCGCGCAGAACAGCCGCATCCAAAAGCGGCCCAGAGCGCCGGAGAAGGGAGGCAAGACGCGGACTTACCGGCAAGTTCCATGGCCGCCAGTGTCCGGACCTCCCGCGGCTGCAGCCGGAGTCCCTCCCCTCTGTCCAGAAGCACCAATCTAGGGCGTCCGCGCCCAAGGGACGCGCCCCCGAGGCAGCCAATCACAAAGAGGCGCTGGGGTCACGTCCGAGAGTGACGCTCTGTCGTCCCCACCCTCAAGCGCGGGATGCAACGTCAGCACGCGCGGGCGTCTGTCTCTTAAATGCTGACGATGATAGAGTGGTTGCCCACTCGTGCCCACTCTGGTTGTCTGGTTACAGCGTCTCTTTTCTGGATGCCAGTTCTCTCCCGCTTGCTTCTGATTGGAGAGATCTTTTGTTTGTAATCAGTTGTGGCACTGCAGAACCGTGCCGGTTCTTATCGCTCTGGGACGTTGGCCAGATGTAGCAAATAAAAATACACAAAAAGTCGAAACAGGTGAAACTATGAAGTTTTAATTTCAGAAAAAAGAACGAATGATATTTAATACAAGCATGTACCAAATATTGGGGACTTCACGATTATTCGTTTTCTGTCTGAAATGTAAATTTAACTGGACATTTTGTTATTTACATGAGAACTCTACATTCTGGGGGAAACATGAGGTCTGATCTGAAATATCAACTCCCACTCGAACTGGTTCAACTAGTTATGAAAGCTAAAGGATCAGTGAGAGTGGTGTGATGATCATTCATGCGTCATAGCTGGTACTTGTACCTGCCATATGTGCACTTTTGAGAATAAATTCCTTTCTGAGCACCATCACCACCACCATTACTGGCACCCATTTTATTAAGCCTAGCATAAGCTTATTCATCCCTGAAAATGTCAGCTCCTTTTTGATGCTTTCCCCAAGCTTCCAGAGAATGAAATTCTCTCACTCTTTAATAGTACTTTGGCCATATGCTGGTATAACATTTATCAGATGATATTCAAGTTGTTTGCCTGATTGCATTCTCCCTCCTCACCTTGATCTCTTGAGATCTTACATGGACTTCTTTCTGAAAACTGAAAATTGTATTTTATTTGCTTGTTAAATGTTCTGCCTCCCCTGCCAGATAGTAAGCTGAGTCAGGATCTGTTCTTGGTGATGGATGTTGAATAAGTTTTAGTTAAATAAATAAATTTCTTTTCTCTCTCTCTCTCTCTCTCTCTCTCTCTCTCTCTCTCTCTCTCTCTCAATGGAGTTTTGCTCTTGTTGCCCAGGCTGGAGTGCAGTGGCGTGATCTCGGCTCACTGCAACGTCCACCTCCTGGGTTCAAGCAATTCTACTTCCTTAGCCTCCCGATTAGCTGAGATTACAGGCATGTGCCACCACTCCTAGCTAATTTTGTGTTTTTACTAGAGACGGGGTTTCTCCATGTTGGTCAAGCTGGTCTCGAACTCCCGATCTCAGATGATCCGCCTGCCTTGGCCTCCCAAAGTGCTGGGATTACAGGCATAAGCCACCACGCCCAGCCATACATGAATTTCTTTACCCAATGTCAGCATGCTCCCTGACACATATTAGGTGCCCAAAAAGATGTATTGAAAGTATTTCATAGCGTGTACCTTATAAAAATTACAGTGCAATAACATCATTAAAAGGGCATTTTAGGTGTGGGATTTGAAGCGTATTAATGAGTTAATGAGTAAGGCTAGAGTAGCAATGGATACTTTGCCCTGTGTTAATACTGATGAAGCATCAGAGAATTACAGCGATGAAGACTCAAGGACACTTAATTAAGCTTTATAATTTGTAGTTTGTTTCACAGATAACAGCAACACTACCAGATTGGTACAGCATTGCTTGGTCTCCTTTTCATTTTTGTAATAGGTTTTAAGACAAAGGGTGAGGGTAGAAATCCTGGAAGGTATAAATGAGGGTTAAGCCTCATTTATTGAGACCCTGGTTTGCCCCTGCCATAGTTCTGATCACAATACACAATTGAAATTCTACCATGAATCTTTTTTCAAAATAGAACAAATGTTTCTTATTTTTATCATGAAACATTTACTGTCTGCTCTGTAAAAAAGGACTTGTGGGGAATACAAGGAATATTAAGCATAGTCCCTGTGTTTCAACAGCTTTTTATCTTGCCTAGCTTTTCCTATACATGTTGCCAGTAGTCAAAAGAAATCCACTTTTCTTAAAAGGTTCTTTGTGCTTCAAATATGGAATAGACTGACCTTTATAAATAGATATTAATAGAGACACACTGTTGCTGAGTCTCTGTAAGGGAGGAGGTTGAGGAGCCTGCAGACTGTTCCAACAAAGTCTGAAAACATTGAACATTCATGCTCCAGCTTCTTCTGTCCTAGGCACTGAGCATTAAAAGGTAAATAAATCATGATCCTGACTCCCAGGGGTTCACAATCTCACCCAGGTACATGACTTCATTTGTAGTCAGTTTGATCTTAATTAAAGGTCTCCATTTAAGGCTGCATTCTTAAAAGTCAGAAGAAATTTGTAGTAGCAAGATTAAGATATAAATCTGGAGATGATTCTAATTATGGTGTCCTGCCTAAATGTATAGTCTCAAGGAATATCTTGAGATAATTTTCTCAGGAACCACTAAAATTAGACTAAGATACTTACATGCATTATATTATGATTGCACTTAATAAAATATGAGGGCAATTGGTATCAGCTTTAGTGTTAAATTACCTGAAATGATGAAGGTGTAAAATAAATGTAGATATCATCTTTCCTTGAAATTCAGTTTTTTGCAACTTCATATATAAATTAGTTCTTTGGGATAATTTTGGAGTGGGAAAGCAACAAATATGTCTTGAGAGCCTACTATCTGTGTACAAAGCGTGATGCAGAGAAAATCCGGCACGAGCTTTACTTGTAAGAAACCATGACAGAGTTCAGGCATATGTAAATATCTATGATAAAAACCAGGAACTGATAAATGCCACAAGAGATATTTAAGAAAAATACTGGGAGTTCAAAGGGAAAGAGTATGTCTAGCTGCCAGCAATTAGCTAGAAGAATAAGTAGACAATGTAATGCAACTCTTGGGAACAAGATAATTCCAAGAACAACATGAATGAGGTACAGGAAGGTGCTGTCCAGCAAACACTGCTTTGTAATGACACAGGAAAAAAGAAGGAAAAGTGGGCAGACAGAAGAAGAGTGGCATTTTCAGTGAAGGTTAGAGCAAACTGGTAGAAGATCTTACTAAGGGAAAAGGACTTGACGTTGAGGCGGACTTCCAGCCAAGATCACATTTTCAATGAGTATTTTGAGACTCCTAACTCCTGATTCTGCTTCAAATAGAACAATTTGTTCTATTTGAACAATAAGTGATACAATACACGTGAGAAAATGTAATGTTTCATCTGTGATTTAAACAAGAAGGTAAACATTTCCATGTATCAGAAACAGAACCAAAATGCAAAATGGTGATCAGGAACAAAGGCACATAGGTCCTGGATTCTGTATGTGGCAGCAAGAAGATGTGAACCAGGGTTCAGCCCCTGTAGAATAATAGACTAACAGGATTCTATTTGTGGCTTGATAAAAGAACCAGTTTTGTGAGAGACTGGTAAAATGGTGACCTTCAATAAACCACTGTTTCACATTGGCAACCTTGTCTAATCCTCTCCGACATTGGCTCTGGGTTTGGGCATGTGACTGGCATGGCCAATGAGACATTAGTAAATGAGATGCCACAGATGCTTAATAAGTTTTTATGTACTGGGATATGTCTTGTTGGAACCTTTCCTCTTGAAAGCCAATGGCTTTGCTATGAAGCTCAGACAAGATATTTAATAATGACAAGCCACATGGAGACATGCCCTGAAGAATGAGAGGTCATCTTGGGCATTCCAGCAGTAAGTGAGTTCCCAACTTAATATAACCACTGGAGTAACTTCAGCCTATACTATGTGGAATGAAAGAACCGCTTAGCTGATCCTAAGTAGCCCACAGAATTATTAGAAATAATAAATCGTTATTGTCTCAAAACACTAAGTTTTTGGGTGATTTGTTACATAGCAATACATAACCAAGCCTCGTTGCTTAGCCATCTCCCCTACTTGTGAACAGAGATTGAAAGAATTTTCTTCCAGCAGTCTGGTGATATAACTTTGCTGACAAAACTCAGCCAAGCAACATAATTTGTCACTTTCCACTATCACTGCTAGTCTAGGGGATATAAGTGTGCGCCCGCACGCACACACACGCGTACATACACACACACACAGAGAGAGAGAGAGAGAGAGAGAGAGAGAGAGAGAGCCCTCTCAAGAGTGATTTATAAACCAAAATTCAAAAACAATGGAAGAAATATAATGCTAAGAAAGACAACACACAAATGTAACAATGGAAGAAAAATTCACTCTAGATGCAATTCAAATAATTTTTGAAGTGACATTTTTTAAAAGAACAAGAATTTGAAAATAAAAACATGCAGAAATTAAACAAACACCAGTATATATAAAAGAATCAATTAGATATCCTAAACATGAAGATGTTACTAGCATTTTAAAAACTCATTACATTGATAAACTTTAGGCTACACACTGTTAAACAACGGTTAGTGTGGTGGAAAAGAGTAACCGAGGCAGTCGCTTCTTTTTGGTGCAGAATATAGAGACGAAATGTCAAACCACAATCAAGGCTTTGTCCTAGGAAGATTGTTCTAGGAGCTGGAGAAAAGGAAGGTAAAAGAGTGGCACAGCTGGAGAAGAGGCCAGTTAAGCTGTTTCAGTAGTTGAGAAGCCTTCATGCAATTCAAAGTAGGGTCTGCAGATCAGCAACACCAACTGGGAGCTGGTCAGAAATGCAGAGTCAGGTTCTCCAGATCTGCTGAATCAGAGTCTGCAATTTAACAAAATCTGGAATGATTTGTAGACAGTGTCATACAACTCTTGGGAACAGAATAATTTCAAGCACAACATGAATGAGGTACAGACAGGTGCTGTCCAGCAAACACTGCTTTGTAATGACACAGGAAAAGAGAAGGGAAAGTAGGCAGGCAGAAGAAGAGTGGCATTTTCAATAAAGGTTAGAGCAAACTGGTAGATCTTACTAAGGAAAAAGGACTTGATGTTGAAGTAGACTTCCAGCCAAGATCACATTATAGCTTAAGAAATTGGCTGTAGACTAAAGG